TTTATTTTAATACAGGCATATACCGTTGCTTTCTTGTAACATGCAAAAAGTGGATTAACTGGCTGTTTCTTCTCTTAAGCACTTGATATGTCAAGATAAAATTTTACAAATCTCTTTCTAAATATCCATAACTATAGAATGAATAAACTGCAATATAGAAGCAGCTAAGTTGCTTTTTACATCTATTTCAAACAGAATAACCTAAAATTCCAGGTGAAGTGTGATTGAAAAATACCACTTCAAATCTTTTAACAAACTTAAATGGGCTTTTTGCTGATTTCCCGTCCAGCACAACAGTTTTCGATGCCACTTAACCTTAAAAATGATTAAAAATTTGGAGAAAAAAAAACTGCTAAACTACAAAACAGCGACACTTTAAAACTGACTTCTAATCTCTAATGTACAGTACAAACAGCGTTCTGTGTCTGACTGCTGACGTCTCGGAGTTTCCTCGTTGGCTGCTGAACCCTCACAGCTGATATCACACAGAAAGTGTGTTGGATGGAGGAAACACTATGAGAAGTGGATGTGCAACACACACACCTAATTAACACCTCGGCAGGAGGCTGCGACATGCTACGGTTTCATTAGCGCATCACACCTGACTCACATGTGATTGGCTCAGGAGGCTACAGTGGCTCGAAAGGACAAAACACGAGGCTCCAAATGCGCACATGCAGCACATTCTCTTGATGTTTGCACTTTTATTCTTGTACCTGCTTTGTCCTCAGTTGCCACTGCAGCAGGGCGGCGAGTTACGAAATGTTTAAAGGAGCGTTTATTTCATTTTTTTGCCCATTTGGAGAAAGAAGAGCTTCACAACAAGCTAAAAGACACATCACTTTATAAATCTGATCCAGCAGAAACGGAGCAGCTTTATTATGTTTATACCCACTGAATGAATCCAACATTTACACTATTTTAGGTTGGTTTTGAGGCCCAGTTTACACGTAGCAAAAATGGTGATATTTCAATGGGCCTTTAGTTTACATGTAAACGAAGCTACAAGTCAGCTACAACAGCTTTTCCAACCAGAGAAGAAACCAGTGAAACTACAATTATTTCAGTCACTGAACAAATGGAAAATGTGGGTAGTATTTCAATTTTCAGAGGAAATTCTGGGGAACAGAGGTCTTTCAAATCAGTTTTGTTCATTAATGGGACACATAATCAAGCATGACAGACTTCTTAGTTTATTATATGGTCAGAAATAACAGGAAAACTCAGATTTCTGTCAAATAATGTAACACAGACTCACTGACTTTACTGTACTCAGACTGATTATGTTTACTGCCATGCAGAGTCGAGCCCCAAATGTATGTTGTGAGCAGGAAAAATACAGTTCACATTTTTAACACTACTTATAAGGTGAAATTTACTTAATCCAACTGAACTTTGACTCCTGTGTATTTAGATTTCAGGGCCTTCACATTCAGTAGTTTCAGACTGATTCACAGTAAACATCCTCCTCAGGTATTTTTGTCTCATTACTTTGGACATTATCACTGCATCAGGAAATCCAAGAATAAAACAGTTCTGGATTCAAAATCCATCCATCCATTATCTATATACCGCTTAATCCTCACTGGGGTCATGGGGGGCTGGAGCCTATCCCAGCTGACTCAGGGTGAAGGCAGGGGACACCCTGGACAGGTCACCAGTCTATCACAGGGCTACACTTAGAGACAGACAACCAAGCACACTCACATTCACACCTACGGACAATTTAGAATCACCAATTAACCTCAACATGTTTTTGGACTGTGGGAGGAAGCTGGAGAACCCGGAGAGAACCCACGCTGCACGGGGAGAACATGCAAACTCCACACAGAAAGATCCCGGGTGTCCTCACCGGGACGGGAACCAGCGACACCAGCAACATTTTGTGCTATAGAAATTTCAGGAAAATCTGGAATAGTTGAGCAGAAATGGCTCTAAAAATGTGATGATTTCAGATGAAATGACTCTTTAAGAAGTCACTTAAAATCACATAGTCCCATTAGAAATCCTGTGCATCTGTATTTTTGCTAACTCATACAACTATGAAAAAAATACATAGCAGTAAAGTTGCTTTTTGAATCAATTTCAGAAATGAAAAAGCAATATTCTACACAAGCAGTCATTTACAAAAACCAGTTCGTTTTTCTTGCTGATTTGTCCAACATGAGTTCTTGACTATGAACTGAGTTTAACAGAAGCAGCAGGAACAGTTGTCTGCTGAATCTACTCCTTAAAAATGAGGAAATATCTGGTGATAACTGGTACAAATAAAAACCGAGACAGTCACTGAGTCACAGTATTTTCTGCTCATCAGTTAAACCTCCGTCCAGTTCTGACACCTAAACGTACGGACACTAAATCATCCAGGATTATTGGCACCTCTGAGCTCAGCAGCTGATTCATGAGTCACATAAACAAAGAAGAAAATCCTCCGTGAACCTGCTCGTCTCTCCTCCGGTTGCAGAACAGTTTGTTCAAAGCTCCTCATTAACCCGACGGATGAACCCGACAGAGGCCACCTGCAGCCTCATCCTGCTGACTGAACTCATATCTATGTCCGACGGAGCAGCTCATGAATCAAACCATCCTGAGCCGAGGACAAATCCGAGCAACATCAGCCGCTCATCATTAAACTGATCGACTGATCTGTTCTTCTGGTGATTGTAAACAGGAAGTCTCACTGGATCACCTGTAGCCTCAGAACAATCCAGACTCTCAGATAACTGTCCAAAAGTATGTGGACACCATTTAGTTCTGTCATTTCAGATGATGGCGTTCAGAGTTTACGTATTTGTTATTTACAACTTAAAAAACTAATTCCTGCCTCTGACAATTTCTGTTGGTTAATGTTCTGTCATGATCCAGCTCCAACTATGAGGATGAGACAGCACTACAAACTAGACATCAAGACCAACAGACACTGAAAATGGCTTTTGACAACAACAACATATAGAACCTATGAACACCAGTTTCTGTTTCCTACCAATGCGTCCACATCAACATTTAGTCTAAACATCTAAAAACAGAACTCTTGTCTTGTCATACTTACAAGATGTCAAATTCTACTGATGTTAGAGCCTCAGAAGTTGGTGAAATGTTGACCGAAGTCTATATTTTTAGTAGAAATATGGATCCATCCGTATATATACACTTACAGGAACGTTCTGGGGACACAGTACCAGTCTCATTGGATAATTTTGCACATTTTTTATTTTTAAGGACCAATATTCATTAATTATTGTCTTTTAGACAATTTTGACTAATTCTGTATAAATTTCAAGTAATTTTGGACAACTTTGAGTCATATAGGGGATTTTTTGTCTTATTTTGGAAAAAGTCTTTAGTAATTTTGGATGATTTTGGACAAAGTTTCCTGCCAAAATGTCTAAAAACTGGAACCTTGTCTTGTTCAACTTTCCACACATCAGATTCTACTGATGCTAGAGCCTCAAAAGTTGGTGAAATGACGACATAAGATATATATATACACACACAATAACATTATACATTTTTAACTTTCTTCCATTTTCAAGAGCAAATAGTCAAAAATGCGTCCTCTGTTGGAGCCATTCAATCATTCTGATCTGCTGGAAACGATTCTGTGTGTGTTCTCACCACATTTCATGGCTGTGGGAGTTTTATTTCTGGACATATTAAACCATTAAAACGGGTCACAGGTAAGACGTAATTGCTTTTTTTAGGGTGAACATACAAAAATTGTTAGGTCTGAAAACATAGAAAATTCTCAAAATTCTGCCAAAATATGTCAGAACACTGGAGGGCAGAATTTTTTTTTGTTTACAGGATCAAACACTTTATTTTTAGTGGGTTTTTTTGTGGGGTTTTTTTGAGACACGTACAATAGTGATAATAAGGGATTTTACTGAAATATGACAATTTTAAGCTTATTTTTTCGTTTACTGTCCTGATGGAACCATATGTCCTACAGGATGCATTCAAAGATTATTGGAAGGTTGAAAATCTGACTGTTCTTAGTGTTTTTACAGTTTCTTACAATAAAACGTGTAATTGTGATCTTTTTCTTAAAGGAATATCTGCCTTCAAACCCACCACCTCAGAACATTCACAGTAATTCTAGTCATGACTGTTCTGATTAATGATGTTAATACATTTAAAAGTCAACCTGTACAACAGTTTCTACATTACAGAAGACGTATCTTTTCACTGTCATTTGCTAATTTCGTAATTATGCTTTTAACACTATTGGACCAGCATGTAAATCTCCTTCAGCCTTCACGAATGAAATAAATCTCCAGGTGTCCACATACGTTTGGCTGTGAGGCAGATAGTGATCAGTGTGTATTGATCCTGAGGCTTTATCAATGAGCTGCCTGCTGACTGGGAGTTTCTGTTCATGATGGTTGGTGTTACAGCGACATCTCGTGGCCACAATAATTACCTGCAGTCAAAAAAATGTTTTTATACAAAACAAGCGGGTGCTGTGTTTCAAATAGCTGATTGTAACAGTGTTTGTCACTGAGGCAGGTTTTTAATATTAAAAACAGTTTGTTGTTTCTCTCCATGAGCAGCATTTTCTGCTGTTTTACAATTCTTCAATTTCATTTGGCAGACGCTTTCATCCAAAGCAACACACATCTGAGAGCGGATACAACACAAGCGAGGATCTAGTCAGGAGAAAACAATCTAGATAAGTGCCATAGAACAAATTCAAGTGTGATAGGGTGTTGATGCCAATAGCAGGCTGTGTGGGAGGTAATAGCATTTTTTTTTTTTTTTTTTTTTTGGGCTTTTCAGTTCAAGGTGTTCAGTGAAGAGCTGGGTCTTTAGTCTTTTCGTAAAGACTGAGAGGGAGTCAGCATTTATTGTTGGAGCTTATTGACTTGGTTGAGTTGAAAACTTTGGTAAATGAACAGCTGCTTAAGTCATTTTAAGCAGGAAATGCCCAAAATAATCTGGTGCCAGCTTCTCAAATGTGAATATTTGGTACCTTTGACAGTTTAACATGAAACTTCAGTGAAACTTCAGTTTTTCACCATTTTCTGCTGTTACACACAGAATTATTAGTTATGAAAGAAAATAACCATCAGAACAAATTGAGACTAAAAATGATCCTCCAGTAAAGGAATTAAACAACCGTCCTGTTCATTTTTTGTACGTCAAAAACGTCGATTCAAGGCACAAGATGGAAAATGGTTGATTTTGTGCAGATTTCTGAAACATTAGAGCATGTAAACAAAAATGACTTGAAATCACGTGATGTGGAGCTCTAAGGAGATCCATACACTCTAGTGTAAGGACTAAATAAATCACAGTCCTGATGTTAGATGGATTAAAACTGACACAACTCACTTCTTCGCCGTCCTCTTCTGCTCCAGGTGTCGATGAGCCTCCAGACGAGATTCGGGGGTGAACGAACACGGCGTCTCCCAGAACTCTCGCTCTCGTCTCCCCTCATCAGACTCTTGGTTCTTCAGGTTCTCCTCCAGATCCTGGTTCTCCTCCAAGCCTGGACTGCAGAGAAACATTCAGTGGCTTATCATAACTTAAATTACTTCAGAATCAGTGCAGTTTAATGACACTTTGTCAGAACTCGTAGGTTCTTTCTGAGGCTGTTAAATGACAGAAGCTTCGTCCAGTTATAGTTTCTGTTTACTTTTCCTTCACCTCACTTCAGAGGGAAGTCAGGTCAAGTTAATAATGTCAGTTTTTCTTTTTACCTGCATGAGACTCGTTTTCTCTTATTGCATTTACGTTTAAATAACTCTGTTTTCAACTTATGTAAAAACATAAAAATCCCCAAAATCGATCAAATTATCTTAAGTTTTCATCGATATGTGGTTCTCCTCAATCGCAAAATTAAATGTAACTTTTCTTTATTGTTAGTACTGATAGCCAAACAAATGAGCACTTTATTAAACCCAAAGAGAAGTATTTTTGTTAAAGCAAAACAAGCCACTGACTCTAAATGTAGAACTATAGCTATACAATAAACACTGTACAATGACAATAATTTGCTATTATAGACTATTGTTAGAAAAAATCTCATGTAGAATTAAATACAATGTCAAGTTATGTAGAATTATAAAAGATTTATAGAAAAATAGCAATTCTTGGGCTAAATCTGGGTCTCAAACAAAGATTTTTGGCCTTTTTTCTGTCTCTTCCACCCACTTTACATGGATTAACTACTGTGTGTGAGCACATTTGTTCTGTTCGTTGATCTGCTGTTATTAGTTGTATTGTGTTGAATTATATTGTAATTTCAATTTTTTTTTAAAAAAGTAGAATTCTAGAGAAAAACTGCCCGACATGAGATGAGACTCTTTCACCTCCTGTTTGCAATCAGAAACTTATCAAACAGAATTCTGAGTTTAACCTCAGCTTTTCTCTCTGAATTCGGACTTTTTAAAACCACAATTCTGACTTGCTTTCATTAAATTTTGACTTCAATCTCAAATTTCACATTTAAATGTTCAAATTTACTTGTTTTTCCTAAATTCTCTTCTTCTCTTTTTCTTTGAATTCTGCACAATATTCTGAAGACGTTCTGTACAAACTACACAGTGAACAAATCTTTTAGGTATTAAAATGATGCTGTTACTTATTGAAGCAGGTGAAATGAGCTTGAATACATTCATCTCAAGTGGTGAAATAAGTATGTGGATTATTTATTAATACAGTGTGCCCTGATTCTTTAGTTGGAAGCCCAAGATCAAACCGGAGAAATCTTCAGTTCTCAGATGTAGAATTTATTTAGTCACAGGTAAAGTGAGGCAGCGCTGGGCTCAGAATGACACAGCTCTTGTGAGAGAGCTCTATCAGAAGGAGCCCCGATATCCAGAAGTGATTCACATTTATCTTCCATGGCTGGGACTGCCCCGTACAGACGTTGGACCTGTACGCAACCGAGGTTAATTGGTTACTGTGATGCGAACAGACTAGCCGCTGTTCACATGGAAGGTCACTGAAATGTAAACAGAAAACTGCTTGGATCGAATACAAAGTGTGTGTGTGTGTGTGTGTTGTCCAAAAGACGTGTATCTAAAGCAACTGATAGAAAAGAGGAGTTTCCGCTGTCTCCCAGCATGTAAACCAGTTCTCACCTTCAAGGATGTGCATTGTGCTCAGTAGAAAAAAGTAAAACGGGATCATAGGTTTAGTGGAGAAATACAGATTCAGAATACATGATAGCTCCAAACATAATTAATTATAGCAACAGCAAAGTAAAAATATTGCATTGCAAATGAAGTAGAAGTCCTTGTTCGGTTAATCTGATCATCTGATCTCATCAGTGTGTCAGCAGCAGGTTACTGTTGGAGCTGCTGTGGGTTTGAGCTACTTCATATCCGGTTTGTTATAGATTCAGAAACAACAGAAGGCTTCAAACGTGATTATTGGAAGACGAAAGAAGAAAAAACTAAATACTGGTACACAAATCTGTTTTCCTCTAATCATTGATTTTTGCTGAGAAAGAGGATCATTTGAACATTTATTGAAATAAGCCAGAAATTTAGAGAGAAAAATAACTGTTTGGTGGAACTGTTAAAACGTATAAACATCTGAAATGTCTGAAAATGTTCAAAGTTTTGATCTGTAAGTTTGTGTTGCATCTTAATAGCTTGTAATATAATTGATTGGTGAAATCTGCACTAGAATGTAGAATATTTTGCTCTAAAATGTAGCGGAGAAAGCTGCGCAAACTGGAAATGCTCAAATAAAGTACAAGAAGCCCAAATCTGAGTTACTTTCCATTGCTGTTAGTGAGAAGTGTCGGGGGGAAATCAATGTTTGGTGGAGCTGTTAACAACTTATAGACATCTTAAATATCAGCCAAACCACACAATGTGTTTTGGAAGAAGCTGAAAAGTTTTCATCTTTAACTTTGTGTTGCATTTTGAAAGCTTGTCGCAATATTCATCGTTGAGATCTGCAGGAGAAAGTAAAATATTTTGCTCTGAAATGTAGCAGAGAAAGCTGCAGAAAATGTAAATGTTCACATCAAAGTAATTGTACTTCCATCACTGTTGATCACTATTATCTTGTGAACATTTCTAGGCAGCAGGACGTCGCTGTGTTTGAACTCACGTTGTGTTGTTGATGTCGGTGTACCAGCGGCCATCGAAGCCTGGTTTCTTCTCCTTGTTTCCCTTCTCTCCTCCTGCCGCCTTCCTATTTGCCTCCTCCTTCTCCTTGGATCTCTTCCTCAGATATTCCTCCTCCTGCTCGCCGACCCGAATCATCACCTCCTCCAGACCCTGAGAGGCTCGAATCCTCTCCGACCGGCTGATCTCCGTCCCGTCCAGCCACTAAAGAAGACGGAAGGGATCCAAACCTGAATCTGTGTCTAGATTTTAACGCGTAGATCCAAACTGTTCAAGCCGACTGCCAGCTAACAGTTAAATTATATCACAAATCGAGTCTTATTTTGTGCTTTTGTTGTGTCTCAGCTTTACTACAGACAAAAAATGCTCATAAATAATAAGAAAAAGATGACTAATGCACAACTGGTGCAAAAAGTACAAGTGAAGTAAAAGAGCAAAGTGTATAAGTGAATTTGTAGATTCCATTTCTTACATTTACCTGCTGGCACACAACGATGCATCCAAATTGTAAGACAAAATGATGAGGGTCGATCACGATGTCATGGTCGAAAAACATGTTGAGGTTAATTGGTGATTCTAAATTGTCCGTAGGTGTGAATGTGAGTGTGCTTGGTTGTCTGTCTCTAAGTGATATGATAGACTGGTGACCTGTCCAGGGTGTCCCCTGCCTTCACCCTAAGTCAGCTGGGATAGACTCCAGCCCCCCCGCGACCCTTGTGAGGAATAAGTGGTGTATAGGTAGTGGATGGATGGATGATTGTATAGAAGACGAAGGATGTACATGTCAGAAAATATACTGTAGATCAGCTATAGTTCCTGGTTGTTCTACCAGGTGGAGCCTCTTATTGTTTAATACTGTAGAGACCAGAGGAGGCATCACTCAGACTACAGGCAGTTCACATTGGCAAGCAGAGAGCATTGTGGGAGTTTAGCTAGCAACAGACACCATGACAGAGACTTCTGTGGAGGTTAATGACCTCTAACTAGAGCTTATTTGTTTATGACAAACTAGGACTGACTTATTCTAATACCTCAGTGACAAACAGCACGTAACTGAGCCACCATTGTGGGGCTTAACTAACAATAGGCAACGTGACAAAGGCTGCTGTGGTGGTCAATAACCTCTGCACAGGTGGATGTAACTGTAACTGACTGATGAATCCACAGGAAAGCAGGTGACGCTACCTTCAGTTGCGGCAGAGCAGCCACCACGTACTGCCTGTAGCCCTCGAACTCAGTGCAGGGATTCCCCACTAAAAACAGCTCCGTCAGGTGGATGTTGTGTTTCAGAGAATCGACGGTGCTCAGACGCCCGACAAAGTTCACCGTCAGGTCCAACTTCTGGAGGTTCTCGCAGCCTGACGGCAGAAAGCAAACACGCAAACACTGCGTTTATACTCTAACAGGCAAAACTGTGACGTTTGCAAACTGTGACGTTTGCAAAGTGCGACGCTAAACTGTTTTCTAATAAATAAAACAATTAATCCAGGAAAGAAGTGGCAGATCAGTCAGGAAGGAAAACAACCACTAGATGCAGACTTAGTCATAATTAGGACTGTTTTCCATTACTAGTAGGTCTGTTGAATATATATATATATATTTTTTTTTTTGATTTATCGATCATTTGTTTGGTCTACAAAATGTCAAAAATGATTAAAGTGTTTCCCAGTAGCCAAAATGAAAAATGTCCTATTTTGTTTACAACCCAAAATGTTGCTGCAGGAGAAAAGAAACCAGAAAATTTACACATTTAAGACTATTTACATAAACCCATCAATCAATCACCAAAGTTAAGGCTTTATTTTTTTCATTTTACCAGTATATTTGAGACAGAAAATATTTCTTCAGGCTCTGATGATAAACTGCAACAGACATTAGTTGGTCCCTCTAACGGTTTATAGATAAATTATTAATCAGGATAAATAAAAAGATAAGAAATTGCTGCAGTCCCAGTCAGAGCATTTTAAATTAAATCAGCTGTAGTGAGTATTTGCTGTGCTAAAAACAGAGGTTATTCTGCTTGTACCGGGCCATTGAAGGACGACTACAGACAACAGTAAAGCCAGTGATTCTGTGTTATCTTATTTGATAGAAATCAAGTATTTCTCTGTTATTTCTGACTATTTGATACACAAAAAATTCACTCACGCTTGACTGAATAAAACCACAATCTACAAAACTGGTTTAAAAAAAAAAAACAACAACAAAAGTTCTCTTACCACTCTGTCAGCTGCTAAAATCTCGTTGGGATACATCAAAAATTCACCTACGGAAGTTAAACTCTGACCTAAAAGCCACTGAAGGGCTGCTGCTCAGGAACTGTAGTGTAGAATCACATTACATCACATTTATCATGCAGATGACTTCAACTCGCCTCATCCAGCAGCTACAAATGGTTTCACAACGCTGCAAAGCAAATTATTTGAACTGTCTGCCTTCTCTTAAATCACCAACAGCTGCCACTGATCAACCTCAGCTTTCTTCTTTTCAGACCCTCAATTATAGAGCAGTGAGAGTGCCAAATTACAAAAATAAATCTATAAAACAATTATAAAATAAAAGTGGAAACATAAAGAAGAATAAATAAAATTAATTATTTTGGCATTTTAAGGCATTTTTATTCAAAACTGAATCCATAAAAGAAAAGGCTAATAAAAGTAGAAATATAAAGACAAATAAATAAAATAATAAAAACAATAAGAAGAAGAAATGTGCTTTTATAAATCAAAATTAATTTAACATTGCTTTTAAGATGCACTTTATTGTTGCTTTTTACTGTGCACATTAAAGGCCACATTACAAGGTGCATTATAATGTGCTTTAAAAGCCATGGTCGGAGGAGGAAACAAAACAACACAAATACAGACACACAGCAAAAACTGGCTCCTAAAACAGCTTTAAATGGAAGCACAAAATTCTTGTAATAAAACTAACAATGTTCAGGAGTTCATGTTTGTTCTGGATACTGACCTTCAAGGTTTTCAATGGCTTCAATGTTGTTCAAGGCCAGATTCAGATACTCCAGTTTCTTTAGGTGGCCGAGATTCTCTATACGGAGAAATAGGATTCAAGCACACAACACAAGAAGTTCAGAGTAAACACTGAGTGGGTGATTTTCTTGTCAAAAGATGTTTATGAAGGTGGTAGGAAACACAAAACTGTTATATACCTAATTTCAGTGATGATTTTTTTTAACATGTAGTCCTGAAAACAACCCGTTTTAACCCAGCTTTAGTCTTAGCATTAAGATTTATTCCGATATGTAAACCAGTCGTCTGTGTTTCCTGGTTGTATCCACATTGATCCTCACCTATCCTGGGGATGAGGTTGTTCTGCAGATAGAGGATTTTCAGGTCTCTGCACCATCGGTCGATGTGTTCGATCCTCTCAATGTCCTGCTGATGCAGAGAAACTTCCTCCAGAGAGAAGATCTCACAGTCATTGTGCTCGGCACGTCGGCGGATCAGATCCTCTGTGACTGGACCAAACAGAAACATGTGACAGGTTTATGCTGACGTGGGCCTTAAAAAAAACCCTGAGGTGCAGTACAAACGAGCGCAACAAAACAATATATTTGTTCCATGATTTGGATGACTGTAACTGTGATAAAAGTAAAAAATAAATAAATCCAGAGGAAACAGTCCTAAACAGCTAGAAAAAACAAGCTAAACTGAAGCATCTGTTCACGTTTTGAGGAAGAAGAATAAAAAAAAAAAACAGATTGCATTCATTTTGGGTGAGTCTTACAAATCTGACCTGTTAAAGTTTGTCATAATTGCAATTGGATTTTTCTGAAAAATTCAGTTTGTAATAGAAACGAAATTTTAAATGAAAGTGGACTGAAGTTTCACTTTGGCAAACAAAAACAACAACAACAATAAAATGCAGATTACATTAATTTTTGGTGAGTCTCATTAGTTTAATCTGTCTGTCAGAATCACTTCACACAAGTCGAAATATCATTATGTCTGTTCGTTGATGTGTTTGGGTGCAATTTAAACTTGTTCCATGCTGAAAGTAGTACAGGAATGTTAAAACATCTATTATAATAAGTATGCCTCTGAAACTTTTGTAGAAAAAGTGAGCAGGGTGTTCATTCTAACATGAAGCCAGCATGGACATTAACTAAAGTAAAGTTTAAGGTAGTCGCTAGCTAGCATATATCTGTCATTAACATGTTATGTAGAAACTAACCTAACTAATTAATTGAGCAAACATGAGCTCATGTAGCTACATGCTAGCCCAGTTTGAGCCTCTCAGGGTTTAGCTTACATCCGGGTCACCAGGCTAACCGCCGTGTTTACACCTTTCATGTTTGGGAAAACCACCAGGTCCTTTAAAAACACTCACCAATGTTCTGAAAATGTCCCTGAAGTCCTCAAACACGCATCTGACCGCGTGGATAATAAAATATTCATTTCGTTGAAAGATAAATAACAATTTTTGACTCCTTTCCCAAAACACATTTGTTTTCAGACTAAAACAAAGATGGCGTCCTGCCGACTGCCTGAATGGAAAACTGATTAAAATCCTTCAAATTAACATTTAATGAACAATTTTCCGTCCCTGTGGTTAGATAAGGATTCCCGAAACACATTCGGTGATTGTTTAATACAATATTTTGGGTTTTTTAAAACATCGCGGGTTAATTAATGTTAATACAATTCAAGTTAGCTGTGTGAACTTCCTTTTCTTCTTTTTTTTAACACATCCGCAACAAGTTATTCGGCTTCCAACTTATAAAAAACGGCTTCAGTGAGATTTAATTGTAAAGACAGTCGCTGATACTAATGAATTATCGCAACAGTAGAAGTATAGAGGAAAATTAAAGGGGTTTAAGGGGAGTTTATTTGTATTTTGCTCATATTTTTTAACTTACTGTGAACCATCTTCTCTGTTGTCAGCCGTTACTGTAGAAACCGAGCAGCTGCTGCGTTCAACAGCTGTGGGAAATCTTACAACAAACAGCCTGTAACTGAAACTGGAGAGGCTCAGAGAGGAAAGTTTAGCACAGGGGTGGGCAATCCTGGTCCTCAAGGGCCACAATCCTGCATGTTTTAGATGTTTCCCTCTTCCAACACACCTGATTCAAATTGATTTTGGCCCTCGAGGACCAGGATTGCCCACCCCTGGTTTAGCAGCATCCAGAATTCAGCGTTCTAATGAAATTAATCGATTTAAAAATGTGCTGATTGTGGCTGTGATGCAGTTCACTGCAGGATAAATGCTGACAAGTTCTCTTTTAATTATGTTTAAGCATAAATAAACGCATTTCAATCAAGTTTGACACCAGAGGCTTTGCTTCGTAGTACAGGCCCCAGGATTTTCTTTTTGTTGCAAATCTAAATCAGTTGTAAAATAAAGAGTAGTACAGCTGTAGAATACTGTTAAAAATAATAATGAATAAAATCCAAACCCATAAAAAACGTAACAATCTGGGAGCAAGGATGCCAGAAAAAATATATTTTTAAAAAATAGAATATTTATGGCAAATCTGGGAGAATATCTGTTCAATAATTATATTTAAGTGGATTCAAATACAGTAAAACAGTATGATTTCACAATTTCAGACATTGTAAAAGGACCAAATACTACTTGTATAAAATACAGATTTTTAATGTGGACATTCTGTACAGTTTGGCCTATTTTGTTGTTGTTTTTGTCGTCGTTGTTGTTGTTGTTGTTGTTTCGGAATCAGAAAGGATGTGTTCAAGTAAGTTTTTAAATAAAAGGAATTTGACTTGTTGTTTTGGTGCATAACAATAATGGTTACATAAAGATTAAACAGCCATATGTATAAGTGTAATGAGATAAATAAGATGCAGAGTTTTAGGTCAGATAGTTGTAAGTGCAATGTGTTTTAAGTTACAAAAAAAAAGAAGAAGACTATTTCTGATGCAGATTTCTGATGAGGACAGAAGATTACAGGTTACAGATTTAGACTGTTTTTTATTTGATTTTATACTATTAGAATTATTGTCTGTAATTTAACAAAATAGCAAAAACCTGTAACGTACCAGACTTCATTTTTGAGAGCGAGAAAGCGTGCGATTTGGAAGCCCAATACGGGAACTTCAACCTGGGATGAAGTGGATGTTGGGGTTTACAGAGCGCATCTGAACGCAGCACATGGGCTTTTATTTTGAGGAGACAACGACCGACTCCGAGCACCGACGGTCACCGGAGCATCGCCGCTTCTCCTGGCCGCTCAGCCGCTGTTCGGTGGACACAAGGACCGGCTGACCTCGCGCTGTTCCCCGCTCCGGTAATCTTTCTCGCGGTTGTCGTGTTTTTTTCCCGCCGCTCGGGATGACGAGTTACTCGGCGTTTCACTCCCAGCTGACGTCCATCATGGAGGCGCTGACCAAAGCGGCAGTGGCGGAGATCTGCGAGCTGGTGGACGACAGCTACGCCGTCCTGCAGCTGGAGATCAGCCGCAGCCACAAGGAGAACGAGTCGCTGCGGAGGAAGCTGGAGCTCATCGAGTCCATCATCGCTCGGGGTCACCGGGGGAGCGCCGCTATGCTGGACTACGGCGGCCCGGTGGAGGCAGAGGAAGGCGGCGGGGCGCTGCTGGACTTTACCGTCGGTGAGTTTCGGGGCCTTTTTTTTTTTGTTTTGTTTACCGGAGAGCGTACCGGTCCGTCGGTCATCTGCATGTCAGTGACGCCGCTGATGGAGGCTGTGCTAGCTAACCAGCTGCCGCACCAAACTCCACTAAGATACCGTCAATATTTCGCCTCCAAACTATTGCAGACACATTTCTGACACTTTTCTCTCAGCAGCCTGTTTTGTAAGTTTTATTTTTAAATTCGGCTTTGAACTAAAACTTCAAACTGCTCTCGGTGTCAACTTTTTCCACTGTTTTGACTCTCACTCGGGCTGCTGTTACCCTGCAGCTCGCTAGCATGCACAGTTCGCTAATATACAAGTTCCCATTTTACTGAGATAAACTTTTCCCACTGTTTATGTATGCCGAATCGAAGACTTGTTGTCAAAGAATCATAAAAAGGTACTGCGACGTTTAGTCCTAAATATATAAGTTAAATTTTAAGCAAAGAACTTTAAAATGTTACCAATTCTGAAGGGAGTTCTGCCTATTTTCACAAAACAGGACGCAACCTATGATAGAACTTTTTTTAAAGCGTGAATATTAACTAGGAAAAAAGACAAAAATGCATTAGCATGAGGCTAAATGCGGTGGCAAATAAAATCAGCAATGCAATTTAAGTCAAGTTAATTACTGAAAATATCAATGAGTTAAAGTAAGGCTAAAACAGAGAAGTAGGAAGTCATGCTGGATATGGAAATGGATTTTTCTATACCAATTAATATGTATTGATATTTTCTATTCTATTAATTGTGTATTTATTTTTTCTTTTCTGTACACTGTGGGGATCTGAAAACAGCACTTCAGTTTCTCTGTATTGACTGCTTTAACTTTGATATTGCTCATAAAAAGAAACTGCAAAGAAAGTGACTCAGAAGTGGTGAAACAAGCTCTAGTATGATTACATCCCTCTTGTTCTCCTGGTTCACATATGTCCCTTTCTATATGTTTCTCTTTGTGTTTTTGGCCCAGAACGTGCCTTACCGACTGGACTGAGCTCCAAGCAGCTGAAAGCCTCAAACCTCAGAAGATGTGGAAGAGTTCTGGTGTCGGAGTCGACTTCTGGAGCCGCAGAGGTGAGAACGTCAGCGCTGCACATTTACTGTCACATTATTACAGTTTACAATAGACCTGATTATACTGAAGCATCTGAGGAAAACAGTCAGCTCACATTAGATCTTTTAGACCCTTCCCTCCATCATGATGGACATCCAGCATCCTGCCACATGAAATCAGTCATATTTACTGGTGGTGAAGGTGCCTGCTGGAGTTTTTCTGTTTTTTCATTTGTCAGTTTACTACCAATTTGTTTGAACCTGTGAATATTTGAATGAACTAAAACTGCATCTTGTTGTAAATTACACTTTGCTTGAAAATAACAAGATAATTACAGTTTAAGGTCTGTTATAACAGGGGTTTCCTGCTCAGATGACGACTGCACACAGCAGTTGGCACGATCAGCAATCTGTGTCCTTATTTGACAGGAATCTGTGTATTTTTTCTTATTGTTTGATGAATAAATATGTCA